ACGTTGGTATTGAATTTTAATTTGTAAATTGAATCTCAAACTATATATATTTAAAATACCCCACCCCGTACTTGTATCTTATTTTTTTTAGGTCTTGCCATATGGATATACCCTTGATGTACCCCATTAGTGTATGTACCGACACCTGTACTTCATAGGTACCAAGTTTTGGAAAAATTATAAATAAATAAATAAGCTAATTAATTTATAAGGAACAAAGAGTGGAGGTGATTCAAATAGGGGTAATCACACCACAGTGGAAAGCAGAAGAAAAAATAAAAATTCATGAAAGTTTATAAATTTAATTGTTAATATTTATAAAATTTCTCATTAATTTATAATTACTTTTTCAAATATTCACTGATTATGATATTTTCTCATTAAAATATTGCCTCTTAAAAGTGACACTAGAAGGTATAAATGAAGCTCATTGTTGTTCCTCTTCCAATCTCACCCATAACCCCATAGTGTCTTTACCTAGATAAGTGTAGTAGTTTAGTGTCTTTACCTAGATAAGTGTAGTAGTTTAGTGTCATTGTTATGGTTATGGTTATGGTTATGGTTTTATGGTTATGGAGGAAGATGTAAATGAAGTTGCTGTATTTGTTAAGAGTAAGTTTGGAAATCCAGATTTACTGTCCTAGATTTGGATCAAGAATGAAGTGTGCCGTGTGTGAATTATAAGATTCATGTGCAGAATGAATCTGAACCACACATTAATATTTCTAAATAATTTTTTTTTTTTGAGTTTGTAGTATTACTCATTTGTTAAAGTTGAAGATGTCTTTCAAAGATCGGATAAACAATTTACCATATAAGGTCAACATATATTGAAAAGTGTTATTTTGACCCCTTAAATTATTGAAAAATGTTATTTTGACCCCTTAAATTATAAAAGAGTATAAATGAATCCCTTGACATATTGAAAAGTATCACTTTATCCCTCTAAATTATAAAAACGCACAAATAAACCTTTTAAACTATAAAAATGTGCCCATTGGACCCTCTTACGGAAAGGGTCAAAGTAAACACGCCAATAGTTTAGGGGTTCATTTGTACGCTTTTATAGTTTAGGAAACAAAATAATATTTCTCAATAATTTAGAGATTTCATTTGTATGCTTTTATAATTTAAGGAGTTAAAATGATATTTCTCAATAGTTTAATGACTCTATATGTAAATAACCCATTTTCAGATTTGTAAGAACATCTCATACTTGGAGCAAAATATATGTGGTGTTTGGGAACTTGGTTTCCAGATTTTTTTTTTAATTTTTTCCACTAAAAGACAAAAGTTTTGCAAAACCATAAAAAATAAATCCAAACAAAATATCACATCCAACCCCATAATCATTTCATTCTTTCTCGCACAAACATCACATTCAACCACAAAAAAACCCAACTATCTTCCCAAACACTAAAATTTTTTTATCAAATAATATCCTATAACTAAAAAACCCTACATAAAATTTTTTTATCAAATAATATCTGCTAATATTTACTATGACATGAAGTCTTTTATCTCACACTTGGAGCAAATATTTTGACTCTCCCAAGATTTACTAACATGAAGTCATTGCAAAAGATATGCACTCATCCACATAATGTTTAGGCAAGATCTTTCTTAGCTTAGGTTGAGCAAAATTTAAAAAAATTAGTGTGACTACCATAAATTATGGATTTCTATTACAGACAACCGTCAGGCAAGACCATTATTTAAGTGAATCTTTATTTAAAAACTTTAAATGTTACTCATGTACTATTCATTATATGTTCATATATTGATAACATATGGATTTTATTTCATCGAGAAGAAGAAGAAGAAAAGCATATGAATTTGAAAGCTTGAATTTTCACGAATAAATATCATGCATACATATATGATCCATCATAACCAAAAAATAGTAAGAATTATTTTTAAAGAAAATTTATATCAATGGAGATTAACACTGTACTTTGGTCCACAAAGTATGGGGATTATGGGTTTATTTTCAAATTACAAAGAATCATCCAAATAAATAAATAAATAAAATTTACTCCCTTTTGGAAAATAAAATTAAATCCCAAGACTCCAAAGCACTTCACCCTTCACGTTTTAAAATAACCAAATTGCCCATAAATCCAATCTAGCAATTGTGTAAGGCGATAGGTACAATAAATATTTTTTGTTGGTGAAAAATTCACGCTTTGTGAAATAATTTAGCGAGAAGTATGTTTTATTATTTTAGAAGACATTTTGTTTCCGGTTTTGCCCTTTAACCTATCTATCAAATTTATTTCCATATGTTCAAATTTGTATCTATCTGTTAACTTTTTTGTATCTATCTGTCAAATTTATCTCTATCTATTCAAATTTGTATCTATCTACTCAAATTTAAAATTCACCAAGTCTATTTCCTCTTATCTGTTTACTATTTTTATATTCCATTATCTGGTTAATATTTTTATATTCCTTTATATGTTTAATATTTTTACGTATACAGATATATAGAGAGAGGGGTTCTATCTGTTAAAATCAATTTTTATCTGTTCAAAACCCAAACTCTCTGTCTCTCTCTATCTCTCTCTGTCTCTCTCTACAAACCCACTATATGTCAAAATTGAACAAATAGGTTCACACAAGGTTCTCGAAGTCTACATTTAAATTCACACAGCTAGAGATGGTTCAAAATAAAAAACGCATACCAACTCATACATATATATACAGAGAGAAGAAGAAGAAGAATGAGAGGGGACTTTAGAGATATATATACACAATATATATATATATATATATAGAGAGAGAGAGAGAGAGAGAGAGAGAGAGAGAGAGAGAGATTCAAAGATGGAGAAAGATGGAGATGAATGAGGAGATTTCAGAATCAGGAAAGACGTGAATAGTGTGTAACTCATTCATAGCATGATTTATCACAATGAAGACAACCTGCCCAAAACACCAAACACCAATCATCATCTCTCAATATCACTTCCATCTCTTGTGAGTAAAATGTGTTGCAACCAACCAAAAAACATCAGCATCAGATCTAGAGAGTGAAACTTGTAAACGAGCTCAACAAAAGGGTATTTGGAGTAGCTGTTAAAAAAAATTATAAGTTATATCTTAACAAATTAAAGACTATAGTTTTAATCAGAAGTTTTAATTTGCATAATGCAGCTATTGAATTATAGATTTAAGTTGCTTAGTAATATTTGGTAAATAAACTGTGAAATAACTTTTTGATGTATAAATGTCATTTTTACCCCTGTTAATTATAAATTGAATTAATCTTTATTAGTTGTAAATTGAATTAAGTGCTTTTTTTTTCTTTCACTATTAGTCCACATTTCTCATAAAATAAACAAATAAATAAATAAATAAAAATAATAATCCATAGTCCATTTGAGTCTTTTTCTATTAAAATAAATAAAATAAAATAAAATAAATCTAAGAGTATAACCATAAATTAATATATCCATAACTGAAATTGATAATCGGCAGCAGGGAGTGAACAACTTCTCAGAATCAATTTTTTTGAGTTAAAATAAGTTACTAGAATAAGAAGTTGTTTGAAATAAATTTAACCAAATAATCTAAAATAGTTTTTTCAAAGCTATAATCTATAAGTTGGCCAAAATAAGTCACACCAAACACCCCCAAAGCCGAAGTCTTCTAGATCAGCGATTTCACCAAACTGCACCTCCAGCCCGTCTCCTGCAGCACCCACTGCCAATCCTTCTGCCAACCGAAAAATCGTCAACGGTTTGCCACCATGAAAAGGACAAGCATTGAGCTTGATGTGAGCAGATTTGAATGTCAATCACAGGATGAAACAAGAGGAATTGAAGAATGAGCTGTAGTGGTCAAAAGGGAGCGACAATGAGAGGACAATCGAGAAACCAGGAGTAGTGATGGAAAGTACAGGGGTGACAGAACTGTTGTCTGTAGCAAAAGAGGAATCGGCAGAGGACGAAGCTTCTTTGTGAGAAGTGGATGATGATGATGAGTCAGCATGAGCCACCTCATCCACACACTACAACTCTTCTCCATGCTTTTGCTGAATACTAGAGAGAGAGCCGAGAGAGAGAGAGAGAGAGAGAGAGAGAGAGTGGGTGAATATCGAAAAGGACCATTTCTTTGATGAATAGCCTTGGAGTTGTTTTGGATCTTGGCTCGAAATCAGCAAGAAGATGAGAGAGTGAGAGGAAGCTGAGGAGAGAGAGAGCGTGGGTTTGGGGAAATGGGAGGTTGAGGAGAGAGGAGAGAGGAGTGGAAGGGAGAAACAAAAAGAGAGGGAGAGAAGGAGGAGAGACAAATAAACAGATAAATAGAGAAGAGAGAAGAGAAGAAAAGAGAAACAAACAGATAGAGAGAGACGAGAGAGAGAAGACAGAGAGATGAGAAGTGAGAGAGAGAGAGAGTGAGAGAGAGAGAGAGGGGCAAACAAATAGTGACGGATAGAGATAGAACAAATAAAATAAAAATAAGAGAAACAGTGACCGGTGAAGAAGGGGTAATTTGGTCATCGTGTAGAAGCATATCCTTTTGGACGAAACAATTTGGTCCGTGGACCGTTAGACCCAAGAAATTCAAAATTGGACTTTTCAAATGAGCACCCTAATTTTAATTAAATTACAACACTAAATCCGTTAACTTATTTGTAAAAAGACATTTATAGCCTTTAATAATAAGGTTGCAACTCACTCCTACCACCAGCCTCCACCACCAAATCCAAACCAAACACTGACACCACCACACCCAAATACCATGCATTGCTAGGGTCTGAAGGTTCATAAAATTTTCAATTTTTTTCACTCATCCCTCATTTACTATTCAAATCGCAGTCTTCGTAAAATTGAAAATTTTCTAGAAAGAAAAGATTTTCTAGGTCTATTATATTCATGGTCCCAAATAAGGTGCATTCGAGTCCAGGTTGCTAGTAGTTCCAAAGGGACATTGTTATAATATTTGATTACTTAAACTATCCCCATCTGTACTTTTCACCAGAAAGAATCACTGGAGAATTAAGGAAACAAAAAATAAATAAAAATAAAAATCAGAAAGCGGGCACAGAAATTGCAATAAAAGCAGTAGTAGCAAACATGTAATTATCTGCTATAATATTCTGCTTGAAAAACATAACAATGAAACTAAAGAACATAAATGCACTCACCACTTTTTCCAGGAATTGTAAGTGTTTCAGTGACTAAGAATCTGAGGGTGATTGTGGTTGTTGAGGTACCTGTGGCCACATTTGTTGCGCCATATAGGGGTGAGGCTGTTGGGCATACAAAACAGGATCCATCACAGGCTGGCCCACAATCATCCCCGGTGCTCCACCCTGAGGTGAATGCTGAGCTGGCATATAATAGTAAGGATATGCATCAGTGGCCCCTCCAACCGGCACGGTTCCTCTTGGGATCGATGCTAGTGCTTCATCTTTCAGATCCTCCCTAGGCACTATGTCGACCAAGAAATCAAATATATCAGTTCTTGTGATTGCCGCTGCAATGTCATTTTTTTGGAGTGTCCTCCTTTTGTTTTCCTCAGTATGATTCCAAGATCGCAAAGTCAACTCTAAGATGAACATCTCGCATGCCCTGGCAAATACAATAGGTGCCTCGGCCGATATCATTCGTACATCCTCATCGGCCTTCATAATCTTCTTGATCCTTGCCAAGGGAAGGTTGTGGTTCTTGAAGTCATTAACTTTCTCAATTTCTTGGTATTGATTTGCCCAAAAAGACTGGAGTTGTTGCTGTAATTGGTGTTGCTGCTGCTGGTGGATATGTTGATAGGCAAGCTGGTGATGCGCAAGATGAGATCCTGATGGCTGACTAGGAGAATGAGCAGGCCCACCTGATGTAACTACTGATCCTTGACTAGGATTTCCCATAACTTGGTTTGGTTCATATTGGCTTGTATCATAATGCAGTTGTCCTTGCTGATCCATTCTGTCCTCTGGTGTGAAAGACCCAAAAGAAAAAACGTACACAATTACAATCAATGCCAAAATAACAGAAAATTGAATACTAATCAGGTAATTATTTTCATAATGATGTGATGAAATTGAATTTTAATTGGCATGAACATATATTTCTTGCTGTAATAGAATTATCATTGCTATCAAAACTGAGTCCATATTGAATATTGTACAGTGAAGATAACAATTGATGCCAATCTAAAAACCCATGATAAAATAATAATAATAAAAAAAAAAATGTCACATTTGGATAAATCATTGTCCAAAAAGACCAGACTAGTTTTTTTCACAAGCTTCTGCACTCTTAATTGGAAAGGTAAGAGCCAAGAAGCACGGACACAGTCATGGATGCCATCATGGGACACGGACACAGACACGGCGGGGTCATGACAATAAAATATATTTTCATATATTTTTATTTGCTAATTTTCTGAAAAGCGGTTGCGGTCACCGTAACGGTGGTGGTGACGCGGTTGCGGTTGCGGGGTGTAAAGGCCGTAGTGTAACGGTTGCGGTAACCGGAACCGTGAATTTTTTTATTTTTTGCACAATTTGAAAAAAACTTACCGATACGCATATTTTTTTTCCATGATCATATTTATTGGGTTAAAAATAAATATTGATCAATTTTTATAAATTTTTAAGTATGATGCAATATATTTCATATTTTTAAATCACTATAAACTGAGTTTTTTACATTTTATTTTAATAATTAATGACTTTATATTATACAAAAAATCAATCACTAACTATTATACATAAGATAAACAATGACAAAAGTAAGAGAATAAATAAGAGGCTAAATATATATATATATATATCTACATATTTTAACCAAGCCAAATAGATAATGACCACACTTATTATTATTATTATTATTATTTCCAAACAATATATAGATAGACACACACAAACAAAATGGTTTAGTAATAGCAGCTGAATAGAATAGCATAGGTCTTACAGTTTCAACAAATTAATAACATGTTATTCATCTTCCCTCTTCTCTCTCTCTATCTCTTGCTGCTCCATTTTCTCTCTTTATCTTCTCTCTTCTCTCTATCCCTCTTCCCCCATTTTTAGCTTTTTTTTTGTGTGTTTTTTCAGAAGAAACAGTTTGGAACCGTTACGTAACGGTGCGTAACAGGCCGTTACGGCTGTTACAGCACCGTTACGACCGCTACGGCAGCCGCTACGACCGACACACCTGTGAATCTCAATCACACTGCAAAAGCGGCCGTAACGGGTGGCGGTAACCGCCAAAACCGTTACGTAACGGCGTTACATAACGGTTGCGGCCACTTTTTAAAACCTTGCTATCTAGACTAATATTGCATCCACAAATGATAAATATTAACAAAAACTAATTCTAATTCTATATTTTTTTTAAAAGAAAATACTTTAAAATTAACACTTACAATTTATATCTTTTTTATGGATGATCTATTAAGGTGCTGTTTGGTAACACTTACGTTTTCAGTTTTCTGTTTATATTTATAAATATTTAAAAAACTCAAATAAAAACTTGTTTGGTAAAATTTTTGATTTATAAATCAGTGGTCTCAGTTTATAAATTTGGCCAAAAAATGAAAACATAAAAAATGTGTTTCCATTTTGAGTTTTCAGTTTTTTTTTTATATCACCCAACATTAGCTACCACCCGCCACCATTTTCCACTACCGTCATCCGCCGCCACCACCCACCACCCACCCTCCACCACCACCACCTGCCGCCACCACTCACCACCCACCTACTACCACCAGCCACCACTCGCCACCACCACCCCCCTGCCACCCACCACCCACCACCACCCACTACCCCCCTGCCACCCACTCGCCGCCACCACCCACCCCTCGCTGCCACCACCACCACCACCACCCACTCGCCACCACCCAGATCCTTGCCAAGGGAAGGTTGTGGTTCTTGAAGTCATTAACTTTCTCAATTTCTTGGTATTGATTTGCCCAAAAAGACTGGAGTTGTTGCTGTAATTGGTGTTGCTGCTGCTGGTGGATATGTTGATAGGCAAGCTGGTGATGCGCAAGATGAGATCCTGATGGCTGACTAGGAGAATGAGCAGGCCCACCTGATGTAACTACTGATCCTTGACTAGGATTTCCCATAACTTGGTTTGGTTCATATTGGCTTGTATCATAATGCAGTTGTCCGTGCTGATCCATTCTGTCTTCTGGTGTGACAAAGACCCAAAAGAAAAAACGTACACAATTACAATCAATGCCAAAATAACAGAAAATTGAATACTAATCAGGTAATTATTTTCATAATGATGTGATGAAATTGAATTTTAATTGGCATGAACATATATTTCTTGCTGTAATAGAATTATCATTGCTATCAAAACAGAGTCCATATTGAATATTGTACAGTGAAGATAACAATTGATGCCAATCTAAAAACCCATGATAAAATAATAATAAAAAAAAAATGTCACATTTGGATAAATCATTGTCCAAAAAGACCAGACTAGTTTTTTTCACAAGCTTCTGCACTCTTAATTGGAAAGGGAAGAGCCAAGAAGCACGGACACAGTCATGGATGCGATCATGGGACACGGACACAGACACGGCGGGGTCATGACAATAAAATATATTTTCATATATTTTTATTTGCTATCTAGACTAATATTGCATCCACAAATGATAAATATTAACAAAAACTAATTCTAATTCTATATTTTTTTTAAAAGAAAATACTTTAAAATTAACACTTACAGTTTATATCTTTTTTATGGACGATCTATTAAGTACTTAAACCTAAGAAAAAGATAATAAACACTCAACATTCATAAAAAAACACTAAAGAAAATGGGAAGAAAGACAACTTGGCATGTCCTTAGTGTGACCCCAAAGCATCCCCGACGTGTCCCCTGAAAATAAAATTAATTAACTAAGGGGACACGCCACATGTGTCCCCACTGTGTCCGTGTGTCTGACACGAATACAGCACTTGTTTTGAAATGTCGGTGCTTCATAGAGGAAGAGGAGTGAAGGAAAGCATAAATTATGAGGGGAAGGGAATGAAGGTCTCTCTCCTGTTGTTTGATTGAACAAGAGGGAAGGGAGAGATGTTTTCTTCTTCCTATTTATTTCAAATATGAAAAAGGGAAGGGAGGTGTATAATGCACTTTTACTTGTATAACCTTTTCATACTAGGGTAACTTGAGCCCATTTCCTTCAATTTATATAACAATGAAACTTGAACCATTGATTAGAGGCGGGCCAAAATATAAATAAATAAAAATCATAGCATTCAGATAGAAAACCTGCCAACTAATTCAAAGCTAGGAAAGAAGAAATGGCATGTGGAAAGAAGAGACTCCCCCCTAACAACCTTAAAATAAACTAGAAAGCATCCATTGTCTCATCAGGAAGCCTTAATTTGCCGAAAATATAAGAAACTGGTGTTAGCACCTATTGCACTGATAAGCTAAGAAACAATAAAGCAGCTGGAAAATATGTACATTATTCAAGCCTGATGTTGGAGGAAGCCTTTAGAATTGGCTAGTAATGAGATCTAGGATAGCGCATTCAATCATAGTCAAACAAATTACTAGAATGTATGTCTACAAATACTGCTATAGACGTATGAGTATGATGGCTGAAGGGAACAGATGTTAGGCACATTCTTTTAAAAGCCAAAGAAGCATTGAAAAGGGAAAGTTGAATGATGCGTACTTCAAAATGAGTTTAATGTTTGTAGTCTATACTATTTGTATGACTGAACACTATCATATGAAAAGAGAAATTATATCAATAGCTTATATACATAATCATATGGAATTTTATATCAATAGTGTTGTGTATATCTACGAAGCACATATGTGACACAACATAGACACACACACACTGTACATGCAAATTATCAAAAACTGCAGGACACAATACACATGTGCAAATATTAAATATTTATTTTATGTCACACTTATTCTCATTATTTTCATCAATATGCTATGGTGAAAAAAATTTGAAACAAAAAAGATTTAAAAAATGGGACACCACGCATGTCTTTAGCATGTCGCAAACATATCAATCGCATGCCCCCAACATGTCACTTCCTATAGCATGTCCGGTGCATGTTCATGTCTGACACCTTTATTTATAGGCTAATAACCTAATCAAAATAGGAAACTACAATCCCAATAAAACAATAAACCAAAAACTCTTAATAAAACACCATAAATAAAGATAAATAAACATAAAAATGATCGTGACGGGCCTAGAAACTGATGCTCAGATTGTGATGAGAGACACAATGCTAATGCTGACTGGATTTGCGATAGTGAGGAGGTGTGAGAAGACAAGTCGCAATAGAGAAGGGTTTTCTGATAACAAGAGTCAACAGGTTCTATTCTCTTCCACAAAAGGGGGTTCCGACAAGGGCTCTGACAGGAAAGGGAGGATAGGGAGATGAGACAACAAATGACGCAAGTGGCCATCAATGTTGACAAACAACGTGGTCTCAAGACAATGTTGGCAATGGAGCTGAATGATAACATTGTAAATTTGTAAAATGGATTGATGTTTGCTTTGATGCAAAATTGATATAGAACCAAAAGAGAGAAAAAAGAGACAAAGGGGCGAGAAAGGCCCTTCCTCTCAATCAGTGTAAAGCATGAGGTGCGATGCGACAAAATTGGGGATGCGTCAAAAGTTTAATTTACTCAAAACCACCATGCTCTATTTTTTTATTACATTACAAGAAATAGAAACATCTATATGAAGAGGTCCCCAACCCTATGCAAATCACTTTCAAGGCCTATCGGATTGCGCATTCATGAAATAAGGCATGGGAGTTCATTGAACCTAGGTAGAAGGAGGAATCGCCCAGGGTTCCTCCGAGAGGAATGTACGACCCTATGTGTCATACATTGATTTAGAGGAAGGGTCATTCCCTCTTTGTTTCAATAAGGGTTTACTATTTTGTACATCTTCCTCATGATGTAACTGAGTATGCACAAACCTAAGATATCATCAACGCCAAATGGATCGCAATGGCCATGGTGAAGGGTGGCGATGACGCAAGGAGGAACGCCATAGATCTAGGAACCTCCACATTGATTAGTTCTAACAAGCTCAGAATGCGACACCACAGGTCGTAATAGAGGAAGATTCGCGACTGGAGGAGTGGGATGGCAATTTTCCCCTACCCCGCCCCACATTGCATCTCCCATCCCGTCCCAAACGGGTTTGCCTTGCCCTCGACGGATTTTCCCCTACGCTGACCTAACCATATTATATAAGACTAAAACACTAAAATATTACACTTCACATTCATTTTAACATCTTTATTTTTCATTTTACATTTTTAACTCATCGTTTATAAAAAAAAATTATTCATAATATACCACATCATCTCTCATTTTTATTAATATCGTCAATATTGAAGTTACAAAATTAAGTCACCCCCACCCTAGGCCTCGCCACCTTCCTGAATTTTTTGCACCCCTAATATGACATGGGACTGGGGTGAGGCAATATAAACCCACCATGTTTCCATACCTCTGCAATGCGATAATGGAAACAACTAAATTCATGACGGTGAGGAGGCGTGACGTGACAATTCATGATGGAGAATGGGTTTTTTGGCAATAGGAGTCAATGGGTTCTATTGTCTTCCACAAGCTAAGGTTCCAAGAAGGGCTCTACTGGGAGAAGAAGGAAAGGGAAAGGAAATGGTGAGTGACGATAGTGGTCATTGATGGCGATGAACAACAAGGTGGCACAGCAACTTTTTTTTTTAATCGACGGAAGTCAATTGTTAGTTATTAGTTATTAGGTTAGCACCTATGGGACTTAACCTCCCCACCCTTTGCAAAGAACCAAGTGCTTACCCCCTTAATTTAACTCCGCTAAGGAAAATTGAACCATGACCTCCCCCTAGGAACTACGCCCTTAAGAAAGTTATGGTGGCTAACTAGGCTAGGCCTAGTTGGTTAGGTGGCACAACAACTTGGCAACAAAGCTCAATGATAACTTTGCAAGTCTGTAACAATGGATCGATGTTTGCCCCGATTCCCTATTGATGTGGAACCAAGAGGGAGAAAGAACAGAGAACGGGGAGTGAGAGGAAGAACATGAAGGCCACGATCCAAATCACAAGGCCACATCCTTAACAATCAATTTTATTAATTCAAATATGAAAAATACTATTACTATGTCAAACATCTTGATTTAAATAACCTTAATCAAAATAGGAAATTAAAACCTTAATAAAACAGGAAATCAAAGACTCCAAATAAAACTATGATTAAAAATAAATAAACATGAATATTAATAAAATTGTAAATAAAATCTCCATTCCAAAATTGGTGCCTCGTATGTTTCACATCACCCCTAAATCCAAATGGAGTGTCACATTGATAGAAAATGTCCTTGTTTTCTTATAGTCAAGGTAAGGATAGATGTATAATAAAAAATTAAAAAATAAGAAGAGAGAGAGAGGAGAGGGGGGGGGGGCACAGATGTCTTCTTTCATATATAAATGAATTTTTTGTGGTTCAAAACTGTTGGTGTGCGATTTCATATAGAATTGAGTTGACATGCACATAACCAAATACATATAGCCAAACATCTTAAGTTACAATGTAGGAATGCAGTTGAAGTTTAGTAGCTTGCTAACATTTAATAACTTCACTAAGATACAAGAGAAGATAAATGGGGCCTTGGTAGTTTTTTTAAATTTTTTTTTTTTTTTTTTTTTTTTTTTGGGGTGGGTGGGTTTAACTCAAGAAGATAAAAACATTCCAGTTTACTGCAAGACACTCAAGAAGACAAAAGCATTCCTTCAATCAATACCAAACAAACCTTCCCTATTCACATCATAAATCATCCGACATGATGATTTAAAGGTAATGTCCTTAAGTGGGCTTTCATAAGTTGGTTAATTTGTCTACAAAGATTAGCCACTAAGGACAGATTATTGAAATGGAGTATGCAACTGGACCCTATTTGCAGTCTCTGTATGAATGAAGTGGAGACTCATGAGCAACTTTTCCTCTCTTGTTCCTTTACTAAGGGTATTTGGGCAAAGATGCTTAGGTTGAACCACATTGATAGAGATCCTATGGGTTGGTCTGGTGAGCTCCATTGGGCAATTTCTCATTGCAATACTAGGAATCAGAGCTGCATCATTTTCAAGCTTTCTTTGGCTTGCACTCTCTATCAAGTATGGAAGGAAAGGAATGGGAGAACTTTTGCACAACTTTTTAGACATCAGGAAGTGATAGTGACTGAGAAGGCTGAGGAAATTAGAGCCAGAGCATGCTCTATTAGAAATGTTAAGAATTCTCTGCAAATTTGGCAAGTCTGTATGAATTGGGGGCTACCTTGTTCTCTGTTAAGACCTGAAGGCCAGTTTTAGTAGTTTTCTATCTTTTGGGTTTTTGTTTTCTTGTTTGTTTTTTGTTTTGTAGGAGTGTACCCCATTGTTTAGCCTTGTTTTTGTGTTTTCTTGTGAAATAAAATTTAAATCAACAAAATATACATATATCATCCCATAGGACCAGACCAGGGCATAGATTCTCTTTCAGACTCTTATCCAAAAGTTTTCTTATTTTCTGTGAGTATTCCTAGAACATTACGCACCATGAAACTATGTGATGGGTTCTCTACACTTCCGTACCGTGAAACTCCAAAAAAATATGTAAGTAATTGAGTATTATCATATAAAAATTTTCCCAAACCAAAATAACACCAAACTCCAATGGGGAGCAGTGGCCATTGTTTTAAGAAACAACAAAAAGACATGAAAGCAAGAAATTGGATTATAAGCTTAAAGATAGAATATGTACGCACGATGAGAATTTAGAATAGAACAAACTATTACGTGGAAACAGGGCAACATGTTTTGGAATAGGGTATAAAGGCATCAAGAACTTACAACAAAAATAAAAACAAAAAATTTATGAGCAAACCAATAGTAAATTGGGACATATATTTCTGAAACATCATACAATGGCATCAATGACGTCTAAAGAATGTACACAAATTTGAGACTCATGAGACATGTTTTCAAGGAATTGCTTAATTAATTTGTATCACTTCCCACGTGTCTACAAAAAATTGTCTGAAGCATTCGAAATATGTTTGCTCATGAATTTTCCCTATATTTACGAGAGATGTAAAGATGTGTTGACACCTTGGACAAAGTGAGACAAACCCTTTGGGTAGAACTTACCTACAAAAACAGGCTTGCAAGGGGGGTGTCCGAACAGACCTATATTCACAAGGCCTCTTGTGTTTTGATGTGGGATCATAACACAAGTTCCTTGAAAAAGACGTTTAAATAAGAAAATGGAATTTGATTCATCAAATTGCACTGGCCACTACAACATACAGACAAAAGATTGCCCTGTAACATAAAGTCATTGCCCAAATCACTTAAACATTGCACTGGCCACTACAACATACAGACAAAAGATTGCCCTGTAACATAAAGTCATTGCCCAAATCACTTAAACAGGACAAATGTCCAAATGGGTTTGATTATTGATGTCCTATAGTGGCCTTATATGAGTTAATTGACTCATTTCGTAAACAAAGATCATCTCCACATCATTACTCTTCTTCACTCTTCAGAATCCTTTGAATTGTGATCTGGATGTTTGATCAACTTAAAAAATGGAGGGCCAATCAAAAAAATAAAAAAAAACCAAGACTTCGAAGATGGAAGGGCATCAATTTAAGCCATTAAATCTGCAAATGGCTCTCTTTGAGACAATTCAAGAACACCAAGAAAAGAAAAAAAAATGATCAAAAAGAAAAGGAATAGCCAATCTTTGACCAAAATTACATGCTTCAAAAATTGAATGTTAACTAAATCAAACATACAGCAGAAAAAAATGTATCCAATCCTCGACATATACACACAAATTTCACATGCACAAACAAAATACATACACAAACAAAATACATACAAAACACTGATGATCATGGAAAAACAGAGAGAGAGAGAGAGAGAGAGAGAGAGAGAGGGTACCTCTTTATTCAAAATTATGATGCTGCTTTTCTCACAGAGATTGAAAACCCTAAAGAACAAAATCCACAAAAATATCAAAACGCCAACCCCCCAAAAAAGAAACGAGAAAGAAAACAAAAGAAGAAACAACAATTGAAAAAAATAAAATAAAATAAAATAAAAAAAATAATAATCTTGAATCACGTATCGATTTTTTCTTTTAACTGGAATCACAGATCGATCAAACCTGTGTTTTACTGGGTATTTTTTATCACAGATCGATCAAACCTGTGTTTTACTGGGTATTTTTTTAATCTTTTGGGGAAAATTCAATATCAATTTACCCTGAGCTATCGATCAAACCCGTCAAACTCACATCTCACATTTTAACCCATAACTATAAATAAAACTCACATCTCACATTTTAACCCATAACTATAAATAAATTAATTAATTAATTGTTTTTATTTTTATTTTTTTTGGGCAAATGCTAGTATCTGGGCATTAATTAGAAAATATGTATAACGTATATTACAAAGTATATTAATTTTAATAAAAATATATTAAACTTAGTAAAAAATCTATTATGATTTTTAATTTTTTTTTGCCTTTTACTTGTGCTTAGGACGCTTGTTAACAAGTCTTTTTTATTTTTGTGAAAAATATTAATTGAGGAAATTGCAAATAAGTGGAACACTGAAGAAATTATTACACTATAGATAGCATTTTTTGTGGTGCAACTCTGCTACACTCTCGGAACTTGTACCATTGTAGATGCCATGACTTTTTCTGTAGTATGAGGTAGCGTTTGGTAGAATTTTGTAAATGTGATTTGAGAGTATGGGTTGTATTTTGAGTTTGTGTGTTGTGGAATTATGATTTGAGTGTAGAAAATTTGTTTGGTAAAGAATTTTGAAAAGAGTTTTGATTTGAGTGGGAAATTATTGATGTGACATTTGATATGTGATACAAAAATTTACAACTCATAACTAAACATACAGCTCAGAATTATTTTAAAGTATATAAAAAATTTTAAAAATTTCAGAAAATGTTTTTTTCGATTATATAAATCAATTGCAAAAAAAAAAATTCACTATTCCGGTCAACCGACCGGACGTCCCGTCAAGCAAAATTTTTTTAAAAAAAAATGCTGAAATGCGCAGCTGAGACAGAGCAGAGACAGAGCTCTCTGCAGAGCGTTTGAAACGTGATTCCAAAACACTAAACAAACATCATACTCAAACTATGGTGTAGAATCACGTTTTGAAATCACAACCAAACACAGCCTAAGACACGTTTTCACCCAATGTTGTGCCAACTTGCTTTAATTAACATAGAGTTGCCACGTAATTTTTATGAGGAATTAAAAAAATTTTAACGATGAAAACTAAGTTAAAGAACTGATCTGTCATAACCAGAGATTATCGGCTCGGAAGCTAAAGTACAAAAGGGAAAGGTCATTAAAAAAATGAAGGGTAAACAACCAATTGGTCCTAATAATTGGACTTAATTCCCATCAAGTCCTATTGAAAATATGTCTTGGTAAAATCGTCGTTAAAAATAATTTTTTTTGTGACGATTTTTAAAATATGTCGCTAAAAATTAATAATTAGTGACTTTTTTTTTGTCATGGTTTTTATAAATTGTCGTTAAAACTTACAATTAGTGATATTTTTCTGTGACGAATTTTTTAAATTGTCGCTAAAAATTGTGAATTAGTGAATTTTTTCGTGACAATTTTTTTAAACTGTCGCTAAAACTTATAATTAGTTACATTTTTTGTGACAAAAAATTTCATATTGTTGCTGAAAATTAACAATTTGTGACCTTTTGAAAAATGTCATTAATTATTATGTGACCTATTGGATAATAAATCCACTTATTAGGACCTGCACGTAAGTTACCCTTAAATGTAAGTACCCCCTCTTCCCCAATCTAAAATTAGCCTCTACTAATTCTCTATTTTATTATTTTAGTGATTAATTATTCATACAAGTCAAAACTAAGTGATTTGAATAAAAAAAAAATTATAATTTATTTTAAATTAAATGAATAAAGTCATATTTTTCATAAAAAGTGAATTTTTAATGATTCATGGCCTTAAACATAAACTAAAATTAACAATATTTACAAAAATCATTCAAAACAACTAATTTTGCATAGAGAAATATTTAACTTGATTTATTGAAAAGACAATGCAACTAAGAACATACATATGCTACAAAGAACAATGAAGCTTGCATGGATGTCCACTCAAGCGTCATACATGCATTTATAAAATTAAATATGATCCTAGCATACAAGTATGCAAATAATGATCCTAAACTCGATTTGAGGCTACTAACATGATCATTATGCACAAAAATGGAAATAACAAATAGAAAGAGTAAAAATGCTAAAATTAAATGATGATCAAGTCGGGCTTAATGCATGATTTCTAGATGATTAAAAAAGCCTAAACATGCTGCTCTAATGAGAATAATGAAAACATGCAAGGAGAGGCAAGAAAGCTAACAAAATAGACAAACTACATGATGGAATGATGAACTAACATCCTAACTATAATTAACTACTAAATATAGGTAGAGAATAAGTACTGAAATAAATAAAAGATAAGAGTTTACCTATTGGTTTGAATAAACTGAAGGCACGTGAAGAAAAGATGCAAGAAAAATCGAGTTCTCTTGCTTGCAAGCCTCCCGCAAGTAAAGGTTTCATATTATAGTCTAAGTTCCAAGCTTTAGATTGTTTTGAGGTGTTTATAGTTACTGTAATGGTAGTATTTTCGAAGCTAAGGCAAGGGGAGAAGAGATGAGGGTGGAGGGCTCTCAAAAAAACTCACAAAAACTTCTAAAAAATCTAACCCTTTGAAAGGGAAGAGGATGGGGAACACCTTAGGGCTTCCCATCTCTTTCTCTTGCCATCTACCTCTAACATTGTACCAAGATTATGTTTCCAAAACAGGTTCCGCCACATTTGGAAGTGTGCACGCACAGAGCTTGTGCGCACGCACAATGCATGCGCATATACACCACTTGTCTTGTACATGTGTCATCAATGCATGCACAAGTGCAGAGTTCCATACCCTTGGCTTGCTTGTGGCCTAAGTAAGCTTGAATTGCTTCTCGATCAATGTTTTTAATACAATCGACTACTAATTTTGAAAAATGTCATCGATCAAATCACAACCGAGTTTTCCTCTTTCTCTTTCTTGAGGTCAAAAAGTTAGTTTTTAACTAAAAACGGGTTCAAGGGTAAAATGATTATTTTTGTAAAAAGTTTATTTTTGTAAAAAGTTAATTTTTAGCCAAAATTGGTTTATACAGTAACTTCAAACAATCTTAAACATTCTAAAGATGAAATAATCATTGTTTCATAATAGCGATTCTAGTTTAAGATCCGACCCATTTGATATTTTGGATTCAGATTTCTTGGTTTTGTACTGTTGTTTTTGTCCTATTCCTCTTTTCCCTCCTTGAGTTTGCCTATTGGGATGTGTTGGTTGTGTTTGAAACGGGTTGATAGCTTGTTTTTTCAAAACTTTGGTTGCCCAGATTTTGACCTCTATGCTCGAGCGTAGCTTCTTGCACTCGAGCGGTCTTTGCAAACTCTCAATACTTTTGCAGGTCTACAAAACTACTGGAAGAGTGTATTCTACGCTCGAGTGGTGCTTTCTGCGTTTGAACGGTCTTGGCTCGAGCGACCCTTCTTGGGCTTGAGCATTGGTCTGCTGTCCGCAAAACTACTGGAAGTGTATACTATGAGCTTGAGCAGAACAACTTATTGTATATGGCCACTCAAGCGACACATTTTGCGTTTGAGCGGACTGTACATATATCAGTTCGTAAAAGTCACTTTTTACATCATTTTTTCATTTATCTCTCTCTCTAAACATTTCAAAACCCTAAATCTAGAGCTCCTCTCTCTAGAACTTACTCTCTTTCTCTCTCTCTCTCTCTCTCTCTCTCTCTCTCTCTCTCTTTACAAATACACTAAGAGCTACCCATTTCTCCACCCTACTCCCTTTGTTAAAAAGGTAGAGCTCACCTAGAGCTTTGTTTTCATCCAAATAGAGTTGGATTTCGGCTTCCTTGGGGTTACTCCACTCTCTTCTTGGTCTTGTAGCTTCGAGGTAGGGAGTTTCTACACTCTTTTATGATTTTTAACTTAGTTATTTGTTTTTCATAAACAATCTTGTGGTTTTGGTTTAAAATCAAAAGAGAGGTTTTCAAATGGATGTATGAAAGATGGTTGTAAAGCCCCAAAATATTCACAATAATCAAACTCGAAACACTAGTGCAAAGTGATATAAAGTAAGATAAGAAGTTTTCATTAATCAGAGTTAAATTACAAAAAGTGACATATGAGTTACACATTCATAAGCTCTATCCTGAATCTATAGCATGTGATACCAACTTAAGGACCAACAAAATAAATACCCTACAGGCTTACAGCTTTCCAAGATTAAGCTTGGTTACAACAAAAAAGCGAGTCTTGAGCTCCATACATATAAAGCCTTAGGCTTGTATAGATATTAAATACAAAATAACAAAAATAGAGCCTTCAGCTCTCTGGTCCTCCCAAGCTAAGTCCTTGGAGGAGGTATGTCACCAGCACTTGAAAATGATTTTCCTAAGTAGAGTGAGTCAAAGCCTAGTAGAAACAATCTAGCACAATATATGAACTTTAAAAAGATATAAGTATGATGCATATATTCAATGCCCAATGATAAGGTCTTTTACAAATCTTTTCCAAACCATGCTAGGCCAATCTTGTATCTCAATCCATGTTATCTTTATTTATTAGTTGTACCCATTTCATCTAATCGACCAAACAGAGGATACACTCCATGGATCTTCAACCAATACAGTTTAACACAAATATATTTACTTGCTATTTCACGGAAATTTCGTCTGCGAGAATCGGCACCTATGTATACGTGCGATTTTTGGGACTTTCACCTTGGACACACAGGCCAACTTAATTCAATGGAGTCCATCCCCTTTATTCTCCCAAACATGGAGTACATCTCCTTTCTCCTCCCAAATATCATACATATACAATGTATGCAATTCATAGTCATATTCAATGATAATGACTAGGTGATTAGTTTCAATTTGCCTAATCCTCATGCAATTTCTATAACAATCATAGCTATCCTCCACCGATAGCCCAAGACATATTTCTAAACAGATATACAATCTTCACAACATATGAATTATTC